GTTAAAACTTAACAATATAAAATTAAAATTTAATACCAAAAAGGTAAATCTCAAGTACTTAAAGGATCTTAAAGTGTTTAGACTGAAAAATTAAAATAAACTATCTCTTACGTTCCAGGATCATAAACTTCATGCCAATTTTTAGGTAGGGGAAACTTTTCTAACATAGCATTTCTAGATTTTAAATAACCATTCCTTGGTCGTTTAATACCATTTCTCCATCGCTGTTCACAAAACTTTGAGCATTCATGATAAACATTTGACTTATTTGGACAACCATGATGACCCTATTTCATACAATTAGACAAGTCTATATTAATTAACACATTTCATTGATTTTGACTATGAAATCACTAAATCTTACTTTAAATTTATCCAATATTTTAGGATCTGGTTTATCATTTTCTTCATCACTATCTTGTGAATCTGAGCCTGAGTTATCATTTGCATCATCAACATCATCATAACATTCCGCAATTACTTCTTCTTCGACTTCTTTAGTATTATTCTTTGCTAGAGTTATGATAAAAATATTATTATTAAAGTAAAATTATAGTATGAACGAGCTTCATAATACATTCCCAAGATACAATATTTGAGCATGTAAAATAATACAATAATACATTTCAACAATCATTTCAATTAATTTGGCTCATATTTAAATTAAAAATTAAATAAGATTAGTCATTAATTTTTTAATGAACATGTCATAATAAATGTGTTCATTATGTCAAAAAATGAATTATGAAGACTTTACCTAGAAAACCCTAGACTTATATATTATGTTATGATTTGTTTTGTTAACTCTCCTCAAATAATAGTATTTGTGTAATGTAACGTGATAATATGTTTAATGTACAGTGTACACATTTTACCTTCGTTTTCAGAGAGTATTCCACGGGTCGCCAACTTTTTAGCCAGAGCTGGAGGCAAAGGCATTGTGTATAGTTTAAATCTATATCGTTGAATAATATTATATTATTAACAAACAAAAATAATGATTTTAGAAGGTTTAATTAAGGATAATTACCTCAAATTAATTATTATTATTATCAAATAACAGAATTCTAATCGCTAAAAATATAATTTATGTAACTATCGTCAAGTATTGAATGCCATGATCATGGATGTATAATATTAATATATAATATATTATATTATATTTTAAACTTAAATCAGTGGTATTTAATGTCGATTGTTGATATACGTCTGTATATCATAAAAAATAAAAAAATACAGAATAGATAATAGAATTATAATTTTAATAACAATATTTGTCTGACGTCTGGGACTATGATAACAACACTCCTTATCAATATTCATTAAACTAAAAACGAGATGATAACCTCGAAAATAAATTTTTGAAGTTTTTTTAAATTCCTAAAAAATTTTGAGATCTAAATTTTTTTGATAATAAATCAATTGAAGTTCTATGGTTTTAAAATTGAACAAATTTTTTTTATTGATAAATAATTATSGTGTTTTTGTAAATTCTTTTTTTTTCGTTAATCATTGGCGGGACGTTTGCCTGCCTGCGGCGGATCCCCCTAGCCGCCCGATCATCCCCTCTACAAGGTACAAAACTGTTTGTCATCCGACGAGTCGAACGTTCTAGAATATTCCCTCGATCGATTCACATTTGCCGGCTCTCCGGATTGCGTGTGCTACTGTTCTGTGCCAAGCCATAAGTCTGTTGTCTGTATACTACACTAGGTTATCAATCAAATCATCTTTTGACTGCGTTCCGATTACCGCATAAAAGCCGATAATTTTTTTATTTCTCGTCCACTGCACGCCCCCATCCATCGATCAGTACAACACATCCACGTGATTATTCCTTACCATACCATTTTCGCAAGTTAATGGCCGCAATGTCCGTAATAGGTATAGACTTCGGGAACGAATCGTGTTATGTGGCCGTGGCTCGAGCCGGTGGCATCGAGACAATCGCCAACGATTACAGCCTGCGGGCCACGCCATCATGCGTGGCCTTCAGTCCCAGAAACCGCATCATTGGAGTGGCTGCCAAAAATCAGATGGTCACCAACATGAAGAACACTGTGCACGGCTTCAAGCGATTGCTGGGCAGATCCATCGACGATCCGTTTGTCAAACAAGAGCTCAAGCACCTTCAATTTGGTGTGGTCAAGTGCGACAACAACAAGATCGGTATCAACGTCAACTACCTCAATGAACAACAAACGTTTAGCGTGGAGCAAATAACTGGCATGTTGCTGACCAAACTCAAAGAGATATCTGAGGTAACTCTCAAGACAAAGGTAAACGATTGTGTTATTTCAGTTCCTTCTTATTTCACAAACGCYGAGCGCAAAGCACTGCTTGACTCTGCGTCCATTGCTGGTCTCAACGTTCTGCGCCTCTTCAACGAGACCTCTGCCACGGCACTGTCCTATGGTATCTACAAACAGGACCTTCCCAATCCCGAAGAAAAGCCACGAAACGTTGTATTTGTTGACTGTGGGTACACATCTCTTCAGGTATTCATCTGTGCATTCAACAAAGGCAAACTTAAGATGTTGGCCAGTACATTTGATTCTCAATTGGGTGGAAGAGAATTTGATTACATTTTAGCCGAACACTTCAGCAAAGATTTCAAGAGTCGTTACAACATTGATCCTAGAACCAATGCCAGGGCGTTTTTGAGATTGTTGACAGAAGTTGAAAAAATAAAGAAACAAATGTCAGCTAATTCTACCAAGTTGCCAATGAACATTGAGTGTTTTATGGATGACAAAGATGTGCACGCAGATATTAAAAGATCAGAATTTGAAGAATTAGCCATGTATTTATTCAATAGAGTTGAGGTCACATTAGAACAGTGCCTTAAGGATTCCAAACTGAGTAAAGATGACATTTATTCCGTAGAAATTGTTGGTGGTTCCAGCCGTATTCCATACATTAAGAATTTGATAGAAAAAATCTTTGGCAAGACACCTAGCACTACTTTGAATCAAGATGAGGCTGTGGCGCGAGGATGTGCTTTACAATGTGCAATGCTATCACCAGCTGTAAGAGTAAGAGATTTCAGTGTGACCGATATTCAAAGTTTTCCCATTGAACTCCTCTGGGAACCATCAGACAACTCGGACGATGGCCGTGCTGAAGTTTTCCCTAAAAACCATGCTGTTCCGTTTTCAAAAATGTTGTCATTCTACAGATTAGCTCCATTTACTGTCAAAGCTCATTATTCTGGTCCTATTCCTTATGCAGATAGTTATATTGGTCAATTCACAGTTCGTGATGTCAAACCAACAGCAGATGGGGCAAGTCAAAAAGTCAAAGTGAAAGCTAGAATTAATTTACATGGTATATTCAGCATAAGTAGTGCTACACTTTTAGAGAAGGCTGAATTACCAGAAGAAGTTCCAACTTCTGAACCGATGGAATCAAATGAAAACGAGGCCCAGCCAACCGAACCTGAAGAGAAGAAAGAAGAAAAGAAAAAGTCAGTTACAAAGACCATTGATTTACGCATTGAATCATTGACTCACGGTTATTCGACCATGGATTTAAATAACTATATTGAGCAAGAAGGTAAAATGGTAGCATCGGATCGTCAAGAAAAGGAAAGAATTGATGTTCGTAACAGCCTCGAAGAATATATTTATGACATGAGAAGTCGAATTTCTASTGATGATGACCTAGCTTCTTATATTGTAGATGCTGACAGACAAAAAATTGTTCAACAGTTAGAAGAGCTGGAAGCTTGGTTGTATGATGAAGGCGAAGAATGTCTTAAAAATATTTACTCAGAAAAATTGGATATGTTAAAAATGGTTGGTGAACCTATCAAGAGACGTAAAGTGGAATACACTACTTTCCCATCCGTAAAAGATCAAGCTATCCAATTAATTTCAAAAGCTGAGAGAGACATTGATGCATTTCACAAAGGCAGTGAGCAGTTTAACCACTTAGACAGTGCTGAAGTAGACAAATTGGTCGAAACCCTTCATAATGCTAAGAGTTGGTTGGAAGAAAAATCCGCCAAAGTAACTGCATCTCCTTTATATAAAGACATTCCGATCAAGTTAGATGAGTTTGTTAGAGAGAAACATAGTATAGAAGAGAATGTAAGCAAAGTTTTATACAAACCAAAGCCTGCACCTAAAGTAGAACCACCGCCACCTAAGGAAGAAGAGAAAAAAGAAACCGAACCAATGGAAACTGAGCAGCCAGTCGAAAACGGCAAAGATGCTTAAAATGTTACTTTAACAAATTTTTTTTTCTATTGTTTAATATATTTAACTTTTTTATTTCAAAAATGTCACCTTTATATTTAAACAATGTTTGTATTCACAAATATGAAATAATTTTGTAAGMAACATATTGTGTATTACTGTTTAATAGATGGAAAAAACAAATTTACTAGAACAATAATAGAAATGTTATATTTCATTATTTTCCTTCCTCCTGTGTTAACTATTAATTTACTAACTTTGATTAAAGAAAGTATAAAATTGTTCTTCATGTTTAATGATAATTAATAAACTGTATTATTCTGTTTAATATTGTCATTTTTAATAGCTAGTGTACCTTAGTTAAAATGCATACATTAATCTTAAATTCTGTCCTGTATTGCTGAATATCTTATTAAATGTTATCAATTACAATYGCCAGGGTTTTATGGTAGTTTTAATGTTTATTTTATCGGGTAGTTTCTTATAAGTGTATGAACTAAATACTAATGATAACTAGTTTTCAATGTTTTATGAATATTAGGTATTTGAGTGGCTCGATAAACTTTATGGGCTGTGTACGCCACAATGAATTCTAGTGGTGTACAGAGGTGTTTTGAGAGTACAATGCACATGGGGTTTAACAAAGTTGCCCACACATTTAATGTTCAGTTAAATCAGCCACTCAGTTAACACTAGTAAATAGAAATTAATATATCATAGTTAACATTATAAATCTCACYGTTCCTACACCCTTGARAGTACATGAAGTTGCAGCAGGTTATATCTGTTGCTAAAATTATATAGTTTACTTATTAGTTATTACTGAATCCCACCCAAAACAAAAAGTTTAGTATTTGAATATAGCTTCATGACTCATGTTATACTATTGGAGTATGATCATAGACATGCCACCAAGCTCCAATAGCAAATCAGTACTTGACCTAATGGGTAATAGGCGAACACAATATCATYCAAGGAAGCAGCACTAAGTTTAACCTAAAAAATCAACAGGTAGCTAGAGATGGAGCTAATTAATATAGATTAAGGGTAAAGRATGTGTATATTTTAACCTATCTCATCAAAATTTAGTAATAGACAATAGTGATTACTATCAAGGTTCCAAAATTATATAACCAGGGGCCCGTACATTTTTTTCAGACCTACTAAAATTAGGAGTGATACAATGTTATATTATAAATATAATAATAACAGTATTGTCTATTTCTATTATAATTTATCTTTCTAATCTACATTAAAATAAGAGTTAAATTAAAAAGGACCCGACAGTGGTTATTTATTTGGAGCCCGKATCATAAATACGAATGGGGTCCCGGGGTGGCTATGGAATCWATATTATGTGCCTATATTTTAGTTCATAGTGAATACTAAATACCAATCATCAACARCCTCAAAGTAATGACTAGGGCTCGAATTTTAAAGCATAATAAATAGTTAACCAAAAAAGCAAAAATGAAGCATATTTATTTTTTAAAAAGCAAAATTAAAAATTAACACGAATTAGTWGTAAAATTGAATAAAAATTTGTTGAGGTAGCATCCTCAATTTCAAAATTAGCACCTCAAATAATGTCCTTGTTAATATAACTAAAACTTCTTACAAAAGGAAAAAAAAACTAAAAAAAGCGGGTAAGTCGTGGATGTCGCTCTGCTGTACAGTAGGTTACTGTAATGAGTGTAATGGATGGGATTAAATTTGAATGCAATGATAGGTATCATTGTATAAGAAAAACGATTCTGAACGGAAATGATTTGTCAGTCTAGGATATATTATTATATTTAAATATTGTCAATTGTCATATATTCTATTTAGAAACAAATAAACTATTTT